GGGGCCCCGGTTGCGCCGCCGCCGTCCCCGCCGCTCGGGATGGCCGGTTTTAAGAGGCTGGGCGAGCAACCGAGAAAACGAGAGGGAAAATCGCTGCGTCCCAGATGCGGCCTTTAAAGCCCAAGCAAAGTGGAATTAAGATGATTGCAGGCGAGTAAATAAAACAAAAGCCTTCGCTGGATATTACTGGAAAAACGCAGGACCCAACAACTTCCCTTCCTTAGAGGAAAAAATTCATCATGTTTGAGTCTCGCTGCTGCCAGGTTTTGGCCAAAAGGGAACAGAGGAATTATAAACCGGGAGAAGTAACAGACTTGAACTGAAATGCCCCTTTGGTCTCTCTTTGCAGAGAGTTTGGAAGTCACAGTAATGAAAAATGAGGAAAATAAATGAGTGCAAAAGACTGGAGTTTCAGATTGCTTGGAGGATAGGGTGTAAGTACCTTAACGTAAACGGATGGCTCACGCTGGGTGCGTTAATAAAGCCGTGCACTGTGAAGTCTCACACTGTGAAATTACTGGTAGCGATTCGTTATGTCCCTGTTGCAGCTATTGCTGTTTAACTGGGGGTTGTCTCAAGCTTTTTCCCTGCAAGCATTTTCACCTAAATGACGTCCTGTGGCTACTGCCTCTCAGGGCTGGATCCAAAGTGTCCTCTTTTACTAGCCAGCACTGGCATTAGTGAATAGAACAAAAATGAGTGATTTGAACAATGTGATTGTTACTCAAAATTGTATTTAAAAATATCCACTTGAAGACCAAATGCACCACTGAGCGTATCAAATTGCCTGACGAGTTACTTGCAGTAGACTGTTACAGAAGTGTGTGTCAACAGGGCAAATGGTTCACTTACAGTTCACTTAATCCTAGGCATTGAAATATAATTCATCTTCTGTGAGATTTTTGTAATTCCCGTTTCTCTCTGTCAACAAGAGCATGTCCCTGGATGGTGAGGGATGGATTTGTACCTTGATCTGACATAGTTTGTACAGCATATTTTATGTGAAGTGAACATAATAAATTCAAACTGATGTTTGAAAAAACCCAGAAATAAAGTGTAGTCATAGGCATCCCTGTTCTCCAGTACCTGTGGCCTTTTAACAGGCTAAATTTCTGATTTGCATTGTCCCTTTACAGTTGTTGTCACTGCTCACAGTTTGAAATTCTTCATGAAATAAAAAAAGTTACCTATGTGGAAGTCTTCCCCATGCTGGCATGTCCTTCTGGCCATGGAGCATTGGCAGCTTGTAGCTATTTTCTCTATAAATATAATCACAAGCATGTAGAGCCATTCTGATAGGCATTTAGAGTTAATTTGCTGTATAATGTAAGTCTTCTAAATACATTTGCTGTTGTAAGTCTCTTGAAGCTCTTCAGCGACATTAAACCGATGGTGGATTTTTCACTGGAGTTCAGAGCCACCTCGCGGCGGCCCCGCCGGCGTGGATGCCCGCGTTCCTTACGGCTCCAAAACTGGAAAGCTCCACCTCTGGCGTGGCAGCAGGAGAAGCTGCAAGTACTTTATAGATCGTGAGAAGTGCTGCTTAAATATGCTTTTTAATCCGTTTTTATTTGACTTTGGGTGGCATGAAGAATCATGCCTGGATATTTGGGATTGTCTTTCCATGAGCAAAACACTTCATTAAATAGAAAAAAGAATCATCCGAATGAGCAATTACGTTGATCACCTCATCTGTGCTGTGCCATGAATGGTAGGGAAATATGCGGCTTATTCATTTCAAAGCACAGGGCTCTGTTGTTCACCCGGGGTGCTGCTAGCAATTATCCGTGTGCCTCGGAGCAGAGAAAGCAAAGTGGCCCGCATTCATACTCTTTAACTCTTTCAGACTTCAAAGCAGGGTGGCCTCATCCAAACTGTCTGCCGGTCCCAACTTCCAAACTATGCTGAGGAAATACTCTGCAAAGGTCCAACTAACCCAAGTCAATCCCATAGCGGGGGCTCTTCTTGTGATTGAACAGTGCAGATATAGTTCCAGCACCCAGTTACAGCCTGAGCCATAACTGCTTAATTTTCTAGCGAAGTCTTGCATCTGTAGCCTTCCACACAGTTACGCTGAAGCCAAAGGGCCTGATGTTTCGTCTCTGACCTTGCAAGAAAGACTGCAGTAAAGTCTATGTAATTCCTTGAGCTAGGGTTTCAAAAGCTTTTTTTTTTTTCTTTTCAGAGGCTTTATATTGGGAGGCCCAGCCCTGTGACTCGCTTAGGCTGAGATCATACTCATTTCACTGTCCTAGGGTAAACTCCAGCAATGGACTCTAGAGGGAACATCTAAGTCACTGTGGTTATCACAACATTTATACTTAAATGTGTAATACCTGGGACTTGACCATGGCCTGGGTTTCATACTTAATGTAAATTTGCTACATGCCACCTTTCTCCTGCAGTGGATTTAGCCCATAAATATGGATGCACTATGTGGTACCTGCCCTGAGCTGTCTAAGTGGAAGTGAAGAGGCCCTTAATTTGTATTATCTTTTCAATTACATACATTTGCTTCTCTTCTCTAGAGCATTCTTTCTTCAGCCCATACGTGAAAGCATGAAGTGAGCCAGTTTCAAGAACAGTGGAAATCGGGAGTAAAGCTGTACACAGGAATCCTTTTCTCTTCTTGCTTGGATCGATGCGTCGGGGAAAATGGGAATCTGACCAGCATCGCAGTGCTGCGAGTGCAGCAGAAAGAGGAACAGCAGCGGTACTGTAAATAAGCACAGTGGATAATAATCTGTGGAAGTGCTTAGGCTTCTTCTTGGGGTGGTGACCGAGAACAGGTGGAAAACCTGGAAAGAAAATAATGAAAATAGGCTCTGGGATGGGGTGGCTTTTTCCTCTCCTTAGGGAATTTTGAACAGGACCAATTCTGTATTCAAGCGTGGTTGTGGTCTGGAAGGCACCAGGGAGTGTAGCCAGCTCACGTATTTTAGGGCTGAATTTGAACTTTATGTTGTAATTTTTATATTTTCTGATCAAATTTGCATGATATGTTAAACTTGCTTCTTTAAGCAAGCTGAAACGTCACTTCCAGTAAGCCCTAAATGTGCACTCTCTAAGCAGAGCATTAGTTCTGCTGCACCACATACATCTGTATGACTGACGAAGAAAGTATGAAGTAGGAGAAAGAAGACACCACTTCTTTGCTTCCATTGCTTGTGCTGGTGGTTTTGAGATTAAAACTCAGCCTTTTGTTTTTTACTTGATTTAATCCAATTAGCATTTTTTGTTGCTGAGAAGACAATTCCAGTCAATTATTGGAGATTGTTTCCAGATTATATTCCCCCCCTGCTCTTTTTGCTAAACAGATTTTCTAAAGGGCATGTCTGTAACTCAGATAATTTGTGTTCAAGCATAAATCTGTACCAAAAGCGTGAAAGCTCAGTGGGGAAGGTAATCTTTCTCCTTTTTGTCAATAAGTAGGCAAGTAAGTACATTGCCTGCTGTGGCATAACGTGCTGAGGGAGCCGTATGTGCCAGTAATGGCATACTGAGTCCTGCACGCCGACTTGTACCGTAACGCTAGCAACAAGCATCCTGCAGTCCTCATGCAGGCAAAGCTTCTCAGTGACGCAAGGAAAGCAAGAGCTAGCTAAATATGAGCAGTTTACAGGCTGGTGCAAAAAAGCTCCACGTAGATGCGG